AAAAATACAAAAAACTAGCCAGGTGAGGTGGCGGGCGCCTGTAGTCCCAGCTACTCGGGAGGCTGAGGCAGGAGAATGGCCTAAATCTGGGAGGCGGAGCTTGCAGTGAGCTGAGATCCGGCCACTGCACTCCAGCCTGGGCGACAGAGTGAGACCCCGTCTCAAAAAAAATAAAAAATAAAAATAAAAATAAATCTATTGAAATAAAAAAAAATAAGTAAAAAGTTGCTGCTTGTAGATCATACAATTGTATATATAAAAAACCATAAACAGTACATAAAAATCTGTCTAAATTAATAAACACACTCAGTAAATTAGCAAAATACAAAATTAACGTAGAAGTATATATATGGTTTTTATACACTTTTTTTTTTTTTTGGAAGGAGTCTTGCTCTTGTTGACCAGCCTGGAGTGCAATGGTGCAATCTTGGCTAACTGCAACCTCCACCTCCCAGGTTCAAGCAATTCTCCTGCCTCAGCCTCCCGAGTAGCTGGGATTACAGGCATGCACCACCACACCCAGCTAATTTTTGTATTTTCAGTAGGGACAGGGTTTCTCCATGTTAGTTAGGTTGGTCTTGAACTCCCCACCTCAGTTGATACACCTGCCTCAGTCTCCCTAAGTGCTGGAATTACAGGCGTTGGCCACCGTGCCTGGCTATGGTTTCATACACTTAAAACAGACTATCTGACAAAATAGAGGGAAAAAACATTTTATTTACTATAGCGTTAAGTAATAAATTTCTGAGAAAAAAATTGACCAAGGAGGTAAAAATCTTTACAATAAAAAATGAAAAAATTAGAGAAGATCCAAATAAATTTTAAAATATTTTATGTCTATGGATTGAAAGAATAAATATTAATGAAGTGCCATATTATCCAAAGTGATCTATAGATTCAATAAACTTCCTATCAAAATTTCACTGGCATTTTTTTCACAGTACTGGAAAATGCAATTCTAAAATTTACATAAAACTAAAATAAACTTTGAATAGCCAAAACAACTTGAGGAAAAAGAACAAAGCAGAAAAATATCATACTTATAATTTCAAACTATATTTCAAGACTTTATAGTAATAAAAACAGACTGTGCAGAAAAATGAACAAAAAATGGAACAGAAACCATTACTCTCACACATATCAGACTTGATGCAAAAAGAGAACATGAAAAACAGTTTTAGTTTATCTAAATCATGCAGATAGATATTTACATATCTGCAAAACAATGGAAAAGCAGCCAGACTGTGCAGTCTTTTTTTGTTTGTTTGTTTTGTTTTGTTTTGTGACAGAGTTTCACTCTGTTGCCCAGGGTGGGGTGCAATGGCACAATCTCAGCTCATGGCAAGCTCCATCTCCTGGGCTCAAGTGATTCTTTGGCCTCAGCCTCCCAAGTAGCTGTGATTACAGGCGCCGAACAACCCACCTGGCTAATTTCTGAATTTTTAGTAAAGACAAGGTTTCACCATGTTGATCAGGCTAATCTTGAATTTCTGACCTCCGATGGTCCACCTGCCTTGGCCTCCCAAAATTCTGAGATTACAGACATGAGCCAATGTGCCCAGCCTCTGCAGTCTCTTATATGGCATGAAGATATCTTTGGCTCTCACTGTGAACTTGAAGGAAGCTCACCAAAAGAAAAGTAGAATCCTTCGAGAATTTAAAATGACAAGACAGAAGATGCCCATTTGTGGGAGCAAAATTAAATAAATGAATAAACAAACAACACAGCTGCCCAGGAACTATTTTCTTTGGAACACAGTTTTCTGAATCACATTTTAAAAACTGGCTTTCTCATTGACCTTGGGACCTGTTATTCGTGTAGTCTGTGGTATTCAATTTCACTCACACCTACCTGGGGGTTTGGCAATCATCTCATGTCTCTTTATAGTTAAAGGTTTTTTTCCTTGCTCCAGACAGGTGATCAGATCTGTCTTAAAGACAACAATACCTGTTTTATTAAAAATAAATAACATGAATCTTGCTCATATTCTCCAATTACAAGCTAGTAATGTACTCAGCAAAGCAGATGTAATAAAATATTCTTGTAAATTAATACCAAAATACTAATTTATCACAGAAATTTCTAAATATTTAGAAAATACTTTCA